CTCAACAATATATTAAAAGGATTATATACCACGACCAAGCACGATTCATCCCAGGGATGCAAGGATGGTTCAACATCCATAAGTCAATCTATGTAAGATCTGAAACCATAAAACTTCTGGAAGAAAACAGGCAGTAAACTCTGACATTGCTCTTAGCAATATCTTTTTGGATATGTCTCCTTGGGCAAAGGTAACAAAATAAATGAATAATTAAATGGAATTACATCAAACTAAAAAGTTTTTGCACAGTGAAGGGAACCATCAACAAAACAAAAGGACAACCTGCTGAATGGGAGAAGATATTCACAAATGATACATTCAATAAGGAATTAATATCCCAAATATATAAGGAATTCATAAAATTTAACACACCTCCCTCATCCAGTTAAAATATGGGAAGAGTACCTGAATAGACATTTCTCCAAGGAGGACATACAGATGGCCTACAGACATATGAAAAGATGCTCAACATCACTAATCATCAGAAAAATGCAAGTTAAAACAACAATGTGGTATCACCTCACACTATCAGAATGGCTATCAATAAATCAACAAGCAATAAGTGTTGGTGAGGCTGTGGAGAAAAGGACACCCTTGAGCACTGTTGATGGACTTGCAAATTGGTGTAGCCACTATGGAAACCAGTAGGAGGTTCTTCAAAACAGTAAAAGTACCTTTGACCCTGCAAGTCCACTTCTGGGTATAAACTGAAAAAATCCAAAACACTGTTTTAAAAATATACATGCACCCATATGTTCATTGCAGCGCTACCAGGAACAGACAAGGTATGGCAGCAACCTAGATGTCCAATATATGAATGGATAAAGACATGTCATTGCCACACACACACACACACACACACACACACACACACACTGGAATATTATTCAGCAATTAAACAAAATCTTGCCCTAGCCGTCCTGGCTCAGTGGATAGAGTGTTGGCCTGCAAACTGAAGAGTTGTGGGCCCGCCAAATACCCCGTAGGGGGTGTGCAGGAGGCAACCAATCAGTGGCTCTCTCTCATCATTGATGTTTCTATCTTTCTCTCCCTCTACCTTCCTTTCTGAAATCAATAAAAATATTTAAAAATAAATAAATAAATAGCCAAGATGGCTCAGTTATTAAGCCCTTAACACTCTCTCTAGATCAGTGGTTCTCAACCTTCCTAATGCTGCGACCCTTTAATACAGTTCCTCATGTTGTGGTGACCCCCAACCATAAAATTATTTTTGTTGCTACTTCATAACTGTAATTTTGCTACTGTTATGAATCGTAATGTAAATATCTGATATGCAGGATGTATTTTCATTGTTACAAATTGAACATAATTAAAGCATAGTGATTAATCACAAAAATATGTAATTATATATGTGCTTTCCGATGGTCTTAGGCGACCCTTGTGAAAGGGTTATTCGACCCCCAAAGGGGTCGCGACCCACAGGTTGAGAACCGCTGCTCTAGATTGTTATTGCAAAAGGCTACTAAGTGGTGCCAAAGGATGATTTTTCTAAAATCGAAATATGATTGTTACTACCCTGGTCAAAGCCCTTCAGTGTCTCAGGGCAGAGTATTACCTGGTCAATGTATTAGTCAAGACATTTGAAGCTCTGCCCCTGCCTAAAAGATATATGCACCCCTATGTTCATAGTATGGTATATAATATTGTATATGTCTATAACATATATAAAGAAAGAGAGAGAGATACTACTTCGAAAGAACTATATTTTTACAGTAACATGAGGAAGGGGGAAAAAAGTCCCCTTTCACCACTCCTAGTCAACCTTGTACTGGAATTCTTAGTTAATGCAATTAAACAAGAAAAGGAAATAGAAGGTATCTAGATTGGGAAGCAAGACGACAGAAAAGTGTCTTTCTGGCATATGACAAGATTGTCTAAGGAGAAACTCTAAAAAAAAATCCCAAATAAGAAAACCTCTTGAACGAATAAGGAAATAGAGAAAGGTTGAATGATAAAAGGTTAATATACAAAAGGTAATTATTGGCCCTAACCGGTTTGGCTCAGTGGATAAAGTGTCAGCCTGCGGACTCAAGGGTTTCGGGTTTGATTCCAGTCAAGGGCATGTACCTTGGTTGCAGGCACATGCCTAGTAGGGGGTGTGCAGGAGGCAGTTGATCGATGTTTCTCCCTCATCGATGTTTCTAACTCTCTATCCCTCTCCCTTCCTCTCTGAAAAAATCAATAAAATATATTTTTTTAAAAGGTAATTATTGCTTTCTACAGATACCCACAAATATACTGAACTGATCTTTGACAAAGGACTAAAGGCAATTCAATGGGAAAACAGTCTTTACAACAAATAGTGCAAGAAAAACTGGACATCCATAAGCAGAAAGACAGAAAGAGAGAAAGAAAATATCTATAAACAGGTTTTACATCTTTTACAAAAATGAACTCAAATGGATCAGAGAGTTAGTACAAAATGCAAAACTACAAAACTTCTAGAAGATAATGTAGAAGAAAATCTAGGTGACCTTGGTTTAGCATTAATTTTTTGATACAACAAAAGCAAGAGCCAAGATAGAAAAAAAATGATCATTTTTACTATAATAAAATAACTCCAGCTCAGTAAAACACAGCATTAAGATAACGAAAACAAGCCACAGGCTGTCAGAAAATCTCTGCAAATCACTTAATTCCTTTAAGCACTAACAAAATGTAAACCATACAAAATAGAAATGTTCAAATTTCTTGCTAACTAAAGGACACGTAGTATCATAGTTTGTCCTTCTCCTATACTTCACACCAGGGGTATTTTCAGGAATAAGCAGGATATTATAATACATTACGGTTTGAGTTAAGCTCCTAAATGTAGAATGATTTTCAAAGATTTACACCAGCTTTCAGTAGTTCTCCTCACATCAATTAAGATAGATATTCAATTGCTTTAGCTTTTTTTTTCTTTAAAGTTCTCTAGGGTCACACACATATAAAAACTGATATGAAACAGAAAAATGTACCTGAGCCCTGGTTGGTTGCTCAGTGGTTAGAGCATCGGCCGACGACCAGGGGGCCCCAGGTCCATTCCTGGTCAAGGGTGCATACCTCGGTTGCACATTCAATCCCCGCCCCAGTTGGGGTGCAAGGGGGGGGGGCAATCTCCTCCTCTTCTTCCTCTTCCTCCTCTCCTCCTGTCTTCTTCTTCCTCCTCCCTCCCCTCCTCCTCCACCTTCCCCCCCTTCTTCCACTCTATCTAAAAATCAATGAAAAATATCCTCCGGTGAGGATTTTTTTTTAAAAAAGTACCTGAGAACTTATATGCACTCACCTCACATCTTGAGGTTCTCTTGCTTAAATGGAAAACTCTATTTTCACAATTTTCTTGCTTTCCTGACCTTGTATCTGTCCATCGTACAGTTCCATACCCAAGTTTTCAGGGACACTAAAGTCAAAGGCCTGCACTACTCAGTGGATAAAGGATCCGAAGGAAAGAAACACAATCAAGTATTAGAATCAGCTCAGAGGAGCAGCCTGCTCCCCACAGGACAGGAGAGCCACTTTCAGAAGGTTCCACATTCTGTGTTCTCCCGGCTGAGACAGAACCCCTGGAAGGAGGGAGGGACACCTCAGCAGCCCCAGGAATGAAGTCTGGGAGCTCCAACACCCTCTCCTCCCCAGGAAGACACACTCCCTCTCTCAGGCTTCATCTCACAGTGAGGAAACGTTCAGCTGGATTTAGTAGAAGGTTCTGATCCAAATGAACTCCCAAATTCATGAACCTAACTCAGGACACCGAACTCCTGACTTTTACAGACTTTCTCAACGTGCATGAATCACACTCCGAGTGCACCTACACCCTGGATGCAAAACGCCAACCAATATGCCTAGAAACAGGCGCGGGGGGGACCACAGCTAAAACCTCAGAAGGAGCATCAACCCCTGTCCCATGTGCACCTGCATCCCCAGCTTCCCAGGGCTGTAGCTTCTCAGTGTAAAGGCTCCTTCCATGGCGGGCGTGAGCAGGCAGGACACCTGCAGGGGGAAGAACCAACTGGGCCTTCAAGTACTTACTTCCCTTTGCAGGTTCTGGGGGTATGTGCGCTTAGTTTGGGTCACTGACCACAGACCTCTGCTCCCCACTGGAATAGCTTTGGGCAACCACTGATATTTTAAGGCACAAACCCAGTGTTTGAACAACCCATAAATAAAGGTGACAAACCCAAAGAGGGGCAGTGTTGACAGGTCAGACCACCCAGGAAAGTTTGCCAAGAGGAACGTCCACCCAAACATCCAAAGAACTTGCCATGGGCTGTCCGTGTCCAGGAATGATCCTGGGAGGCCGGGCATAAGAATTTCATACAACGGAGTTGCAAACGATTGATTATTCGCTACTTTCCTTTCATGTAAAATATCCACAAACAAAAAATAAACTTTATTAAAAGACCACCCATTGACTATGGGAAAATGATAGTTAAAATATGGGTCTGTTTGAAACGCACCCCAGAAGACAAATAGTGGACTCTGATGCTTGAATTGGGAAGGGGACGTGGGCGTTTGGGGGCAGAGGGAGGGATTTGGAAACGTAGGCAGATTGGGGTGGGAGCAGGGCTGGGGATTTGAGACCCTGCTTCCTAAGCATGGGGAAAACTCCGGAGAAAATGGGAGCCCCCCTGTAGAGAAAGCAGGGACCGGGGACCCCACAGATGAGTTCCTCTCCCGCACGGGCCCCCGATAATAAGTTACGACGGTTCTCTTACGATCCGTCCCGTGGCCGCCGCACCTAGGCGGACGCGGGGCTGCGGGCGCAGAGCTGCCCAGCTAAGCTGCAGGGTCGGGCCGAAACCGCCGAGCGCAGAGACGGGGCAGGACGCCCGGGGTCCGGCTGCTGGCCCAGCCCCCACGCCGCGTGCGGGAGCGGGCCGAGGTCCGAGAGGCGGCTCCGAGGACTCTGGGCTTGACCTTGGGGAGGCCAGGTCCGCTAACGCCGGTTCCAACCAGCATCTCGTCCCCGTCTTCGCACCCTGGCCTCACGCACTCACCATTTTGGGGTTTCTTGGGTCCCCTGGCGTCCCCCTGAAGATTTCTGGTAACCGTACGGGTCCAAACGCGACAGAGCCGGCGGCAAAGCGACCCCGGGCCTTGGAGGGCGAGCGACCCCCGAGCTCCCGGAGGCAGGACGTCCGGGCTGGTGGAGGGACATCGCCCCGCCCACCGTCCCGGGGCCACCCCTGATTGGACAGTTCGAAAGGCCTGTTCTTTCGCGCCTGAGTGACAGCCGGACAGCGCTTTCGCGACTGGGCAGAAGGCCCGCGGGAACTCGTCCTCTGAGACTTTTTCATTGAAATATAATGTGCGAGGCCCCTGGCGGAGCTGGGATCCTTTTTTTTCACAAGTGCACACACTTAAAAGTCACCTAACATATGCAATAATGCAGTGGTTCTCAACCTTCTGGCCCTTTAAATACAGTTCCTCATGTTGTGACCCAACCATACAATTATTTTCGTTGCTACTTCCTAACTGTAATGTTGCCACTGTTATGAATCATAATGTAAATATCTGATATGACCCTAGCCGGTTTGGCTCAGTGGATAGAGCGTCGGCCTGCGGACTCAAGGGTCCCGGGTTCGATTCCGGTCAAGGGCATGTACCTTGGTTGCGGGCACATCACCAGTAGGGGGTGTGCAGGAGGCAGCTGATCGATGTTTCTCTCTCATGGATGTTTCTAACTCTCTATCCCTCTCCCTTTCTCTCTGTAAAAAATCAATAAAATATATTTTATTTTATTTTTTTAAATATATTTTATTGATTCTTCACAGAGAGGAAGGGAGAGAGATAGAGAGTTAGAAACATCGATGAGAGAGAAACATCGATCAGCTGCCTCCTGCACATCTCCCACTGGGGACGTCCCCGCAACCCAGGTACATGCCCCTGACCGGAATCGAACCCGGGACCCTTCAGTCCACAGGCCGACGCTCTATCCACTGAGCCAAACCGGTTTTGGTGGTAAAATATATATATATATATATATATATATATATATATATATATATATATATATGATATGCAGGATGGTCTTAGGCGACCCCTGTGAAAGGGTCCTTTGACCACCAAAGGGGTCGCGACCCACAGGTTGAGAACCGCTGCAATAACGTGTCTGGCTCCATTTGATCGCTTATGGTCGATGGCATTGAATCTTCCACCCATCACCACCCCACCTCCTATTTTTTTTTTAAATTAAATCTTTATTGTTCAGATTATTACATTTGTTCCTCTTTTTTCCCCCCATAACTCCCCTCCTCCCAGTTCCCGCCCCACCCTCCGCCTTCACTCCCCACCCACTGTCCTCATCCATAGGTGCACGATTTTTGTCCAGTCTCTTCCCGCATCTCCCACACCCCTTTCCCCCCCAGGAATAGTCAGTCCATTCCCTTTCTATGTCCCTGATTCTATTATAATCACCAGTTCCTTCTGTTCATCAGATTATTTATTCACTTGATTTTTAGATTCACTTGTTGATAGATGTGTATTTGTTGTTCATAATTTGTATCTTTACCTTTTTCTTCTTCTTCCTCTTCTTAAAGGATACCTTTCAGCATTTCATATAATCCTGGTTTGGTGGTGATGAACTCCTTTAGCTTTTCCTTATCTGTGAAGCTCTTTATCTGACCTTCAATTCTGAATGATGGCTTTGCTGGATAAAGTAATCTTGGTTGTAGGTTCTTAGTATTCATCACTTTGAATATTTCTTGCCACTCCCTTCTGGCCTGCAAAGTTTCTGTTGAGTAATCAGCTGACAGTCGTATGGGTATTCCCTTGTAGGTAACTGAGTTTCTTTCTCTTGCTGTTTTTAAGATTCTCTCTTTGGCTTTTGCTCTTGGCATTTTAATTATGATGTGTCTTGGTGTGGTCCTCTTTGGATTCCTTTTGTTTGGGGTTCTCCACGCTTCTTGGACCTGTAAGTCCATTTCTTTCACCAGGTGGGGGAAGTTTTCTGTCATTATTTCTTCAAATAGGTTTTCAATATCTTGCTCTCTCTCATCTTCTGGCACCCCTATAATTCTGATGTTGGTACTCTTGAAGCTGTCCCAGAGGCTCCTTACACTATCCTCGCATTTTTGGATTCTTTTTTCATTTTGCTTTTCCAGTTGGGTGTTTTTTGCTTCCTCGCATTTCAAATCATTGACTTGATTCTTGCGCTCCTCTGGTCTGCTGTCGGGAGTCTGTATAATATTCGTTATTTCAGTCTGTGTGTGCTTAATTTCTAGTTGGTTCCCCAATATAACATCGAGGGTCTCATTAGTTTTCTTGTAGATCTCATTAAGTTTATCGGCGGCTTCTAAACAGTTCTTGAGAGACCTTAAAAGTGTGGTTCTGAACTCTATATCTTCCATTGACAATTCTGTCCTGTTTCTTTGTCTCCGCATTTTGTTATGCTTCCTTGGTGCACCCCCTAGTGGTCTTTGTTCGCAGTCTTATAGTTAAACCTTGATTGTTATAGCTAATACCAGGGAGGGTTTGACCTCCAGGCCAAGTGGCTATGAGAATCAGCTGTGTCTGCAGTGAGAGAACTTCTGTCCTCTAGGGAGGTGCTAATCTAGCCTTTGCCTGAGGCTATCCGGCAAATGCCTCTGTGCAGGGCTTGGGCGGGGCGGGTCGCACAGGATCAACAGGGTGGGCCGGAGAGAGCAGTTATGGTGGCTCTCAGTCCTGTACCCAGGGGCTCTGCCTCTCTGAGTCCCAGCACCTGATGCAAAGCTCGGAGAGAAAGCTGCACTCGCTTTGACCGAAGCCAGACAGTCCCGCTTCTCCCGTTTGAGTCTGGGTCCCTAAAGACTCGCCTGTATCTGGAGCTCAGAGTCTGCGACTCCCTCCCGATTGAAAACGCCAACCGCGCCAACCGCGCCCTCCGCCGCCAGCCCGCTCCACGCACTCCGCACCTCAGAATTTGACTTCAGCACTGCGCCTCCTCTGAGTGTCCGTATGCGTTTCTCTTTCCTCCTAGTTGTAGGACTTCCACTCAGCCAGCGTTCCTGTGGTTCTGGGTGATGTCCCTTCCGTTTTTTAGTTTCACTTTTGAAGTAGTTGTTCAAGGCAGCAAACTCCGGCGTGAACCTATGCCGCCATCTTGGTTCTTCTCCACCTCCTATTTTGTATTTTAAAAAATCCCCTGGCCTCCCAAGCCCTCGGCTGTGGTTGGGAGGACAACTCTCAGTCTAACCACCAGCTATGAGATATGTTGATTAGATTCTCAGCTGTGCGGTTTACACTAGAAGGAAATTTATTTGAGATTATTTTTAAAAATGTATCCTTAGAGAACTTTGAAATGTAAAAGGACATAATCTCCCTAAGGTAGCTATTTTCAACCTTTTTTATGGCATACATAAACGAATTACTAAATTTCTGCTGCACACCAAAAAAAAGTATGTTATTTATTTATTTATTTTTGCCAATCTGACAAAAAAAAAATAGGTATAATTTTGATTCATTCACTCCGTGGGCAGCTATTGTTGTGTTGGCTGTTGTCATTACTTAAATTTAACAATCTAAGGAAAAGAGGTCAGTTCCTCTTTTCATGTTTTAAAAATTCTTGCAGCACATCTGTCTGTCTCTTGCTGCACACCAGTTGAAAATCCGTGCCCTGAGGTAATCAATTCCTGTTTGGGCTGATATAACAAAAACACTATTTTTAATTTGACTATTTTTGGTTTTTGTGTCATCTATACTAACAAAAGCGTAGGTGGTCCTTACGCCCTCACGCAATGCCCTCACGTCATCACAAGATGGCCACCACAAGATGGCCAGCAGGGGATGGCAATTGGGGGTGATCGGGCCAGCAGGGGAGCAGTTAGGCTGTCAATTGGGCCAGCAGGGGTGCGGTTAGGGGGCAATCAGGCAGGCAGGCAAGCGGTTAGGAGCCAGCAGTCCTGGATTGTGAGAGGGATGTCCAACTGTGGGATCAGGCCTAAACCGGCAGTTGGACAACCCCCCGAGGGGTCCCAGATTGGAGAGGGTGCAGGCGGGGCTGAAGGACACCTCCCCTCCCGTGCATGAATTATCTGCACCAGGCCTCTAGTATTAAATAATTCTTCGCCAAATCAAAGGTCATATTTCCCACTATGTGTGTTTCTAAGAATGTTATAATTTTACTTCAGATTTAGGTCTTTGATCTATTTTGGTAAATTATTGTCTGTGGTGTAATGTAAGGATCCAACTTAATTCTGTTTAAAAATATTTTTTTATTGATTTCAAAGAGGAAGGGTGAGGGAAAGAGAGATAGAAGCATCAATGATGAGAGAGAATCATTGATTGGCTGCCTCCTGCACACCCCTTACTGGGGATTGAGCCTGCAACCTGGGCAGGTGCCCTGACCTGGAATCTAACCATGGCCTCTTGGTTCATAGGCCCATTGTCAACCACTGAGCCATGCCAGCCGGGCTTAATTCTTTTGAATGTTGCTGTCTAGTTGTCCCAGCACCAATTTTTAAAAAGAATATTCTCTCTTCATTCTTAGCATATTTTTCAAAAATCAGATGACCATGATGAATGGGTTTATATCTGGAATCTCAATCTACTGCATTGATCTGTGTGTCTGTCCTTGTGTCATTACCACATTACCTTGGTTACTATTGCTGAATAGTATGATTTGAAATCAGGAAATAGTCCTACTACTTTGTTTTACTTTTGGTTTCACTACTCTAGTTGTCTTGCAATTCCATATGAATTTATGAAACATCCTGACAATTTCTATAAAGAAGTCAGCTGAGATTCTGTCAGGGATTGTGTTGAATATGTAGATCATTTTGGGAAGCATTGCCATCTCAACAGTGTTAAGCCTTCTGATCTGTGACCATTGGCTATTTCCCCTATGATTTATTTAGATCTTTTCATTATTTTGGGGGGGGTTCACCCCCTTTTTCTCTTGCCTCTATTAATCAGGGAGAAATAAAGAGCAAGGAAAAAGGATGGCATTATTTCAAAGCTTGTACTCATTTTTATTAAAGATTTGCAATGTCCAAATATATAAATCCCCACCCAACCACACCCCAATTCTTTCCATTTCCAAAAATGCAAATCAAATTTTGGCAATAAAAATGTTTAATGGTTATTATTACTAGAAATTAATTTCAGGGAAAATGTGGCTATGCCCTAGAGCTAGCCGGTTTGGCTCAGTGGATAGAG